ATTTTCCATTTTCTGTCAAACACCAAAAGGGAAAAAGTTTTTCTGTTTTTCTGTGTTTTCTGTGTTTTCATATGAAACCTCAATTAACAAGCTCACACTTAATTGTCTGTTACACATTCCACATTTATTTTACTCAACTTTAATTAGGAAGCCGACGGAGCGTGTGGGAAAACATACTGTATGACATATAGCTTTTTTTTTTATTTCATAAAAAACGGCTTTTCCCACGCTGGCTTCTTGAGTAGCTTCACACAGAATTCACATGTTGACCGTCAGGGAACACATGGTTTCCATTTCATGTGTGGTAACAGCATGTGTGTGCAGCCTGTAGGATGTATACACACACAGGCGCTAACACACATAAACACACAGCAGGTGAGCCACCTCATGACCTTTGTCTTGGTTCACACAGCCTCTGGGCTCCCAGAAGGCCGCGCTGCACCTGGAGAAAGGCCTGCTGGAAGTATTTCATCGACGCATGCTTCCACACATGTGAAGCACAGCTGGCGCACTATTCTAATCTCTCTTATTATCTCCCATGATTATTTGCTGCTGTTCTACTTTCTCCTCCTTTGGGAGCACAGGAGGGAGAGAGGAGTAGTATTGCCTCTGTCCGTCTGTTTATGGAAACAAAGAAATCAGCTTTAGTCCCTGTGCAGCACAGAGGGACATACTTGACCGAGTCAGTCACCCACACACAGACAGAATAACCCTTAAATTGACTAGTACAGAGGAGGTTGTGTGTGCCCACACCCACACCCACACACACACACACACACACACACACACACACACACACACACACACACACACACATAAAATAGTTTCTCATCTTTAATCACCTCTCTTCATTCTCATAGTTTTCCAAAAAGTGTTTCTGTACATCCTTTTAAACTGAATTATGCTTGTGCTTTGTTTTAATTCCTGCTCCAAACCACCCCTCACACTATCGGTCAGGCACAAGCAAAATAATCTTTATAATCCAGTTTTGCTCAGGGCTAATACGTTCTGGTGAAATACACAGTGGTGTAAAGTAACTAAGTAGATTTACTCAAGTACTGTACTTAACTTTGAGGGACTTCTACTTGACATGAGTATTTAAATGTATTGCTACATTGTGCTTCTACCCCACTACGATACAGAGTTAAATAGTGTACTTTTACTCCAATACATTCATTTAGAACCTTTGTTACTTTGCAGATTTGGATTAATGATGTGAAATGTGATACTTTATACTTTAGTTCCACCTGGAGTAAATTCACAAGCTACCCTGCAGTATACAAAGTCATTCAAACTAGCTGTATCTTTACCAGCTTTGAGAACACTTTAATGATCAATCATTATCAAACATATCATATATATTATTCTGGAATGGACCAATCTGCACAATGAGTACTTTAACTTTTGGTACTTTACGTTTATTTGATGCCAATACCTTTGTACTTTTACTTGAGTAACATTTTGATTGCAGGACTTTTACTTGTAACAGAGTATTCCTACACTCTGGTACTTCTATTTTCTTTACTTAAGTACAACATCTTGGTACTTTTTCACCTCTGGAAATACATCACCATAAGTCAGCCAACATACTCTGTCTCGATGCACGTCCTTCTAAGTGTTGCTAGTTGGAATACGGGGGTCCGGAAGTTTCTAAACATGGGCTTGAGGGTTAGGGTTATGAAGTCATGAAGCAGGAGAAAACCACACTAATGTTATTCTATTCTATAATAAAAGCTTCCAGCAAAATCAATGTTATCCTGTTATCAATGTTAGCCTTTTGCAATCCAAGAAATATTTTTTGCCAGTTATCTTACGATACAGACATAAAGTGAGGCATCAGCTCATGAGTGAATCTGAGCGAGAGAAAGAGAGATCACAACAAACAACGCCTCACGACTCCAAACATGCAATTGGCCCAGCAAGTCGAGCGCGAGCCTCAAGTAAACAAGCAATCTTTCACATCCATCCCTGCCTCACTGCCTCTCACACATACAAACACAAACATAAACACACAGTGTGTTATGTTCTTCCCCAGTCAGACTGCCTGCCTCCCACACACACACACACACACACACACACACACACACACACACACACACACAGCTGTGAATGGGGAACTACTGGGGCCAATTAGGCAGCAAACAGTAGGCTGGAACTGGTTTACCGCCAGCTAATGACATCCACTAACCTCCAATAATCCTCTATTGGCTGCTTCGTAAAAGCGGCCCACCTACACACTTCCCCTATTTCTCTTTCCGTCAATTTCTCCTTACGCTCTCAAGACCTTTCCCACTCATTTCTGCTCCTTCCTGTGTCCTTTTCTAGACACTCTTTGCCCCCTTCTGTTCAAAAGGTGAGCAGGAATGCTGTGTTTCTCTCGCTAGTGGAAGTAAAGAGCTGATATTAAGACAAACAGCGTGCCCCTCTGGAGTCAACTGATAAAACCTAGCAGCAAACACACACTCCACCTCTGACACGAGTAATGGTGTGTGTGTGGGCAGAGAAATATGGTTGAGAATGGGGTAATGTGCAGCCAATGGCTTGCTGGATGATGTGTGTGAGCGTGTGTGGGGACTCAGTATATCACCCTGACTAATGTATGCAGGCGCTGCTCTCTACAGCAGACAAGACAGAGAGCGGGGTAATATGGGGCTTAGGCATCGTAAACACACCAACATGCTATAAATCGTACGCTCAGATGTAAGCCTGCAAGACGAGAACAACTGTATCCACCCACCGTCAACGCGCAACTGAAATACTACAAGTATGCATCAAATCGCAGTATATAAATTAGTGGAACACAAATTCAAGATTTGTAAGTCAATTGGTTAATGGGTGCTGTATATTGTGTATTATTACTTTGTGAATAATAACTGAATGTACATGCTTTGTATCACTTGCTTTTGTGGGAAAAACTCAGAAAATCAATGAAGATATTTACAAAAAATGTCTGCTTAAGGCATAAAAATGAACACTGCACCCTTAGAGCGAGTCACGCTGTAGTCTTTGTGTGTTGCTGTTTCTGCGAGCAATAGTGTGAAAGACAGCAGAGGCCTAATAAACTCACCGTGTTAATTACACAGAAACTGATAACTAGATAAAACCAGTCATTTCCTGTTTGTTGATAAACGAGGCTCCAAGTGATACGTGTGATACAGAGTGAGATACAGAGTGAGATACAGGGGAAGCAGATCAGGGTAATTCGATGATTTGAAAGTGAGGTGTTGATGAGAATTGTAGTTTGTATCTTTGCATAATGTTGTAAGTAATATATTGTCTTTGCTGAGTTTGTACTGTATGTGCACTGTACACCACAGCGAGTAACATCTGTCTCCCTTTGAACTTTCTTTAAAAAAAAAAACACTAAAACACAGAGAGACTGTTTCTACGTTTCATGAACAAAGAGCAGACTTTAACACACTGAGGTCAGCATCCATGCACATTTTGTTCTCTATCAGCAGCTTCATCCCTGTCCGTGTCCACGCCGCCTGCACAGCAGCCCACTCAGCTCGACGTGGAAGATGACCTACGCGTTCACTTGCTGACAAACCTCCTCATTTGAGGGGCAAGGGACACCATTTATCACGGCAAACAATTAGTCTCTAACAACTCTCCGAGGGAAACGATTTGGCTAATGGTGACAGAGGAAAATGTGCTTATTATGCAGAGTAAATAATGCTCCAGTAACCTGAGGGGTCCATTACTGTGTGCACCACCAGCAGGGGCAGGAATATAGAAAAATATATCTACACTTCCTGTGTGCTTCATGCTCATCTGACCCTGTCGTGTTCGGTTCAAATCTGATCAATTTACTACTTTCATCAATTATAAATATAGTGTTTTACATGTGACTGCCTCAAGGCCTTATGATATCCTCCACAGTAGGCATTTAAACATATAACATTGCTGATCACCAGTTTTATTGAATTTTGAGTGGTTAAATCCACTATGTAACACCAACAGAATAAAATGACCTCCATAGGAAATGAATTGGCAACCCTAGATTATGTTCTTCCATCACATAGTACACAGCCAACTCGACAAATGTTAATTTTGGAGTACATATTCAATTTGGAGGACCAGTATACATGAGACCTTGTATACAACTTAAAAGGGTGTCAAATCAAATGTGGTGACGATTAATAGTTTTTGTGTTATTGTAGGAGCAGTTAAAACCCAACCCCATACCCCGGGGGGAAAGATGAACATGACAGGAGGGTTAAAATGACTGAGCCGTGACATCATCAACATGCTGCGAGCAGAGATGGACAGGAAAAGAGTGAGGGAGGAGGAGAAGGTTATTTGCTGATGAGGGATGACAGCACTGGCAGGCTGCCCCCCCCACCCCGGCTGTCAGAGAGAGATCAGCAGGAACTGTGAAGGATGGCCTCTGTTGGACAGGAGCCATAAAGAGAGGCAGGCTGGTTCAAATGCCCCGGGAAATACCAGTGATGAACTCAACTTTAATTCAGCTGATCAGACCTCTCTTGTTCATGAATAGTTACAGCTCACAGGGAAAGTGTCAGGGCTTCTAAACTTCCAACTAATCATAGCAACACAAACCTAATAATGGCTTCTCTGAGCTAAAGAAATCCGTGTTAATGATGCTCCTCTCAGTGCAGTGAACTCACAGAGATATCAGAGGTCAGGGCTAGAGGCATTTAGAGCTGATACAGAAACTGCTGAACCGAAACCACCCTAATAAAGGGATTACAGCAACACTGGCAGCAACATGACGCCCTATTAAATAACTGCAATCAAAAAAAAGCCGCAATACAGTATAGCTTGATAATAATATCCTGCGAACACAAAGTCAGAGGAACTAATTTGTTTATACACTTCTCAGACTAATTAATTAAAAAAAAGGCCTGTAGACAAACAAAAACACTTTTCTAACCAATTTAACGATGTAATGTGTGGTGTTATGGGCATGTGTTGGACTAAAGAAAAACAACTAACTGATCAAATATAGGATGAATAACCATTTTCTCACGACAGCATTAAAGATGGAGGTTTTTGAGAGGATGAGGATGCTGTTGGGGGTTTACCTGTTGGTTGACGCGGCACTGCGAGGGTCCGTGGTGGATGAGGATGCGGACGATGTCCACGTCCCCCCGCCAGGCGGCCAGGTGCAGCGGGAAGCATCCTTTACTGTCAGAGAGGTTTGCGGCCGCCTCAAACTGCAGCAGCTTCAGCACCACCTCCCTGAGAGAAGCAGGACAACATATCAGCACAGTGGGAGACACATGGAATAGTGTCCCCTTTTCCTTTGAAAACAGCTAATCAAACAGATTCAACACCTTTTTAAACATGAAATAAATTAACAAGGACGAGGACGAGCAACACAGAAGGAACATCAGTTCACACGGACTACTTCAGAGCAGATTTCTGTATAATAATTAGTCAGTATGGAGGTGTCAGGTTTTGCTGATGGTAGATTGTTGTGTTGACTTTTGATGATGTTTTTGGTTTCATGTTACTGTAAGCAACTGGTTGTAAGCAGCTGAGACTGACGGACCATCTATTGTTTGGTAATCTCCTCCTTAAAGTGTACATGTTTGGTTTGATAATAATTGCCATGAGTGGAGTAAAATAATAAATAAAATATATATTCAAATTGGTTGTGTTTCCTCTTATATTCAGTGCTAATCTCTGCAGATATTCATTTTCTCCTGGTAAAAACAGTTCACACTGTTTTACAATGTGATTTTTATACATGAAATGTTTGCTTAGCTGGGCCTAACATTAAAAATAAGACGTTTGGTAAATGCTCCATAATTTATCATCAATATCCTCTATACTTCACATATTTCAATCCGAGCTTCATTGTTTATTTGAAGTGTAACACCTTTGACAAGAACAATGATGAGGAGGGTGATCTATTTTTCATTAACACTGGATACAAGTCTGTACTAGGATGGGTTAAAAGCAGAGAACACATTTCACCGTGTGTGCTCTGTGCTCTGCATGTGTGACCATTAAAGAGGGTTTCATCCCTCCCAATATTATTATTTATTATTATTATTATGATAAAAACATAATTTTGCACTTTACAAATACATGCAAAAGACAAAATCAAGTTGGCTGTATTTGATCAAATAAAAAATTGAATTATGTATGTGAACATTTGCACTCAAGGCTGAAGCACAGAGTATGAGTGCTTTAGTCTGTGCTAGACAATTTTAGCTGCCCTTGTTAATGCCAGGGTCCCGTTTTTACTTTTTATTTTTACTGAATAGCTAGATCTGCATGCTGTCAGCAACAGTTGGCACTTATTTAAAGCAGCTAGTCTGAACCAGGCTCAGGTCATGAAGGGATTCACAATGTTAGGAATTAATTTGGACAATAGCAGCCTATAGAGGAAGCAGTGGAGGCACAGTTCCACTGGAAATTATTATCAATAATTTAGAGAAGACAAACACATGTTCCCCTCTAATAAAGTAATCAGAGCTATTACACAAATACATTGAGCGGTAGTGCCTCGGTTTTGCTAGAATTAATACTGTTTGGTATCAGGAAATCTCCAGCTGAAGTTTTCCCTGCTCTCTGAAGAGGAAAGGTGAAGTGCTTAATTTGCATCAGGGGGGGGGGGGGGGGAGGCAGTAAAGGGCAGAGGCTCTCCCAGGGCCGGCGTGAGAACAGCCCACGAAACTTAATGAACTGCTTTCTTAATTATTAATTTATCGTATATTTATAGTATTCACTCCGGTTTAAGTGGCAGTTGTAGAACAAAATCCCACTGGGGGGATCTCAGGGTCGAATAAGACAATATTCAACTTCTTGCCGATTGGATTAAGCTTGCTTACTTCACAAAAAGGCTTTTAAAAAACTCAACATGATCTAAAAACAACAGCCTGAATAACACATCTCTGAATGCACTGCTGCGCCAGGTTTCTTTGGTCTATATCTTAATTGCTAGTTCTCTTTGCTTTCCCAACTAAACGTTAAATCATTCCTCTGGAGCTTTGTGTTGGCGGCCTAATTTCCACTGTGAGGCTGCAGTCTTCTCTCCCTCCCCACTCTCCTCCCCGGGTGATCCCAAGGAGGAAATCCACATAATTGCCCCCAAAACACAGCAGTAATCCTTCAGTTCCGCAGAGCTGGGAGAGTGGTCAGGGCTGCAGATAATCCACATTGTGGAACGGATTTCCCAGCAGCCAGGTGAGGAGAGGAGGATGCACTCAAGCTCTTTGCTGATGCATTGTGTATGCTATTTTGGCATATAACATACATATATTATTATTACTACTGGCTTCTACTTCTTAAGTATGGTCCCTGGTAGACCCCTACACATATAACAACAAAGACTACTATAACCAGGGGTGCACACAACTTTCTCAGTGAGGTACTCAGATGAGTACCTGGAGTAAGTGTTTGGTACTCCAACTTCCGGCTCCCCTCAAAGTTCCCATGAAGCCCTCTGTATCGCGAATATCAGCGGGTGGGGGTGCTAGTGGAGTATGATGAAGCCCTCTGTATCGCTGCTGTACAGGCCGACGTTAACAGCAGCCCTGTCTTTGCACACGGAGACCGACTCCGTCGTCCGGTGATCCAACCGCCTTATGGAAAAGCTTCACATATACATCGGTACGCAAATGCGCTTTGTGACACAAGTGACGGTACGCATTTCAGATTGTTGCCGCGCATGCGTACCTGCGTACCACTTATGTGCACCCCTGACTATAACACCCCTTGTTATGCAATACTAATTATTTTCAATATATGATATGTATATATATATATATATATATATATGCCATTAATTAATAGCTGTGCACTATCTGGCTGCCATATCACTCAGAACTGTTACAGAAGTATTCCATTCCAACAAGAATCTGTTATTATGTAAATATACACTTTGATTTTATTTACTAATGCTATCTACCTGCTACAACACTTAATTCCACAATGTTACCCTTGTTTTATTTTATACATTCTGCTAACTTACAGTACGTATTATCCCTGAATGTGTATATCTGTACATATTTTTTTAAATACTATGTGCATACCTTTGTATCTAATAGTGTGTTATTTTTATTTTTGTCTATCTATACATGTTGTAACAATGTAAATTGCCCATCTGTGGGACGGATAAAGGAATTATTATTCGTCTGATTTCATTTGGAGGGTAGAGGTACATGTATGTCATGGCCTTTGTGAAAACAGAAAATGCATTTAAAAAGAAAATGTAATAACTGATTGTTTATTTATCAAATGAAAACACTTCTTTGAGGTTCAGGATTAAGGAATTAACACATATCACATCAGGCACATACATGTATTGAAACACATATACTGTACATCATCACTCTTTTTTAACTGTGCAGCACTTTGATTTATATATCATTTCTGTTAGAATAAAGAATAATGATGTTATGCAGTCTTACCTGTGTCCATTTAGTGAGGCGTGATGTAAGGGTGTGTATCCTGTGCTGTCTGTGCAGTTGACATTCAGGCCCTTCCACATGCTGCAGAGAAAACAAACACACATCAGAATTAAACCCTAAAAAGTGAGACTGCTTGATACTGTGTTGCTTATGAGACATTGACACGCACATTTGGAACTTCTTCTTGGTCAGAAAACATGAGACGGACAGTTACAAATGTTTATTTCATCAACTTCTTTGAGGTTCTATCTGCTGCACCTGCTCTGCTTCAGACCTAGGAAGTGTCAAACCACACCCAGCCAATTAGGAGTCACTTCATCGTGGAATGTGCCAAGTGTTAGATAGGTAGAGGGGTGGTGTAAAAAAATGTTGTTCCTAAACACTATCTAGTATCTACCATTTTCTACTTTTATAACAGTTTGTTGATATTTGTTTAGTGGTAAATGTACATCTGTTAAAAACATATGCATTTTTGCTGTGAGTTACAATGGATACGAATGGGTTTTGAGCTTTTTCAAGAAGATTAAGAATGCCAGGAATGCTTTCTCCATACCGAGTTATTTACTTGTTTTCCATTCATCTGTTTAAGCAAGTTTTGGGTTGTGTTTCTCAAGTCACAGAAAGTAAAATTTTGACGTGTTTGGATCTGATGGCAAAAAGTATAATTTATAATACAGCCAGAAATCTTATTTAATCATACTGGCAAAAAAGTGAGTGAGGTTGAATTTTGGATTTGAAAAAAGGCTGAGCATGCAAATAAAACCACCCAACACAGAATCTCATAAAAAAAAACAGCTATGCATATATTCACAACCACAATACTCACATATAGTAGCACACACTATTACACATATAGAGCCCAGGGTTTTCCCAGAGCTATAATTATACGACCTCTCTTTTTCACATGAACTCCTCCAAACGAGTCAGAGAAAAGTACTAATTAGTGAATTACAGTAAGAGCAGATCAGGGAAACGCAGAATCAACTGGAGAGGCAACTGTATTACAGTAGCTTTGACCTTAAATTAAAGAAAAAAGTATCTGTGGCTGGAGAATATAGATAATTTTTTTTATTTGCATCTTTCCATTTTTAAGTGCTCTCCTAAATTGCAATGCACTGTATTCACACATTTTAATTGCTATACATGTGCTCACAGTGTGTATCTACAGTATTCACAACACTCACCTCTAACTCTCCTTTTTAATATTAAAAATGTTGTGTTTTCAGGTCTTTTTTTCCTTTTGAGGGTCTGCTGCTGCAAACATTTTAACATTGTGGAGGCAGCAGAACATTCACCGGGTTTGACAGACATCAACACAATGGTGAAGGTCAGTGCAAACACACAAAACTAAGCTTGAATTAAATGAGGTATTAAGAGCTGGCTGCACACATTGAGAACACAGTGTACTTCCATCAATAGAGCAAGTCTGCCGGAGATAAGGATGTCAACCATTTTATTTGTGCTGAATAAAATGCTTAAATAAACCAGACCTGAACCAATATGAACCAAAAGCTGCATTTTAACACTAAAGTATAATTAAACCGTACACCACAAGTGCATATGTAGAACTGAAACTGTCTGTTTAACCACAGATAAAGCTAAAAACACAACTCAATAAAGGAAATACATCTTGTACACATGTGTTAAACACACACAGAGGTCAGAGGGCAGGAGACCACAGAGAGAGAGACACAGCACAGGTTTGTTTCTATTGGCTGATCGTTTGTTTTGGTGTGTGTGAGTTCATATTGATCACAGTGCTCTGTTGAGCCGTTTCAGCGCTGACCTACAGAACCACGAGTAGGATGTGTTGTTAAAAAAGAGCAGGAGGCAAGAGAGTGATGTAGGCAGACACAGAGACAACATGGAGAGGATTTAACTCAACGGGCAACTGTTTGGACAGATATCATTTGCTCAACATCCACCAAAAAAAGTAAATTATTGGTCGATACATTTCAGTCTTTCACTGTCATTGCTGTCAAAATATTCCATCATCATCTGATTGTGATTATTTGAGTTGACTGCCATCATTTTGCAATATTGTTGTTTACATAATCAAAGGAATGTAAAGAAAACCTAACACCGTCAAACATAAACACAAGGTTCAAACATCAGGACACAAAAAAACGATGGCAAAAACAGCCTGACCGTGTAGATATTATTCAGTTTTATCTCATATTAGACCATTATTCTTGCTCGAGGAGGAAAGATAAGGACATGAGGTTGTGATAAGGGTTCCCTGGATTTAAAGAAGAGAGTCTCCCTTTGGGAGCAGCGGTGACAGCTCTGGGAAAGGTTTGGCTGGAGTTGTCACTTGAACCGCTTCAAGGTTTGCTAATTGGATAATTCACAATAAAATGTCTGAATGGAAACACGGTGCCATGTGAGGAGTGTGGATCCTTTCAGAAATAAGTGGGCCCAATGACCGTTTAGGAACAAGCTTTTAAAAATATATCTGGGTGCAGCAGAGCGAGAGGAGAAACACTTTTTGATGTATTGACATTATGACATGAAGCAAAGCATCACTGTGACATTAATCAAACCAAATAAGGGAATTGAATCGCAAGTCACATTTATTTAGCTAACAATTCAATTGTAATTGTGTTACTTGTATAAAAGGAATGAGATAAACCGTGCATCACAACATAGAGGTTTTGTCAACATATGTATTCTTACAGTGTATGGCCTTAAATAACAGTTGTCTTTTTATTACACATTTCCACCTTAAATCAGGCTCTAAACTGCCACATCTAGATTTCATCGAAATGTTCCAATTTCAGTAAGTGTTTCTAGTTCAATACCTCATCAATCAAACTACTTTGATGGAAACACAGTTAATGTTCCATGAACCCCCGTAAGATGCTTTCTATATCTGATAGCTGTTCACGGAACAAACCTGACCTTGAACGCGCGTACGCACGTACGCACGCGCACACACACACACACACACACACACACACACACACACACACACACACACACACACACACACACACACACACACAGGTGCTGTTAGCTTCAAACACCCAATCTGTTCAGCAATTAATTCAAAAGGTGCTGCACAAAGAGTCTTTCACATTAGTAGTGCTCTACAATCCACCCTCCCACACACCAATAAACACACCGTATTAATGCACAAACACAGCAGTCACAACACGAGCCACACAACCTTCGTAAATAAACCTGAACATACAAATATCTGTGGTCACTTTGTGAGAGTGTGTAAACCTTGTTAGAGTGTGTTTGCCTCACTGTGAGCTGAACAAGGTGTTGTGTTTGTCTTCCACTGTCACCTATGTGTTTCCAGTGACAACAAACACTTGCTTCACTTATTTCAAATAACAACCAGAGCAAGATTTACCAAGAATTTATCTCCAGTAACCATTATTTTATAATCTCACTGTAACACGGAATCAAATGACTGCGAGTCATTTTGGAAGGGGTTACTAGTTGAACCCAGTGTTTGGACCTGCAGCCCACCTACAACCTGTGGATGCACAAAGTTAGCAATTAGCCAGAAGAGAGCATCAAGCTAGCAGCTAGCGACTAAGCTAATTTTCTCAGGAATTGGTGAAAATGAGAAAAAAATTAACTGGATTTACAGTTTATGTTACTTAATCTAGCTGGCAGTGTAAACATGCATCTGTATGCTTTGTATACATTAATTGAAGGTGTTTTAAGTTTATTTACCATAGGTGTAATATAAAACCCAGCTCGTCGACAATAATAACAAATTGGATCATCATCTTCCTCTTAACAACCTTGATGAGGAGAAACTGCCCTTATAAAACATTCAAAGAGAGACTTGAATGAGTTTGTGCTATAAAGTGTTGAGTTCATAGTTATATAAGTTTGTATTGCTTGGTCATTTTCTTCTCAACTAGTCCTGCCATATCCCCACAACAGTCCTTTAACATAAAGACTTATTCTTCTCTGTTATGGTGGATATTACATTTATATTCACTGCTGAACAGGGAAACTGCACAAAAAGTATATCTATTGAGTCCACTGCAGCTTTAAACTACCAAAAGGTACAAAGACAGAGAGACTGGGAACGTATAAAACACACTTTGGTTAATGTCCGACTACATCTTTGGTGAATCACTTCCTACGGAGCTTTCTTATCACTGTTCCTTTCTGCTCTGCCATGTCCCACCTCTGAATCCCCTCACTAGGTTCAGTGCCATAACCCTTCTACATTGTTTTCTTTGCTTTCAGTAACAGTAACAGTAACAGCGTTAAGCCAGCCAGCAGAGTTTAAATAGAATTAGTGGGCAACTTGAGATTAGATAATCGAGGAGAGGTGATGCAGCAGGAATGCCGACTCTTGCTGGATTAGCAAAAATATGCAGGCAACGTCCTACCTAATTAACCTCAGGAGCTTCAGCTAAGCAGGGTAGAAAAGCTGTATTTGTGTATGTACTGTATGTTCACATTCAGATTCAGTGCTGTGCTTTTCTCAGCCTCTCTCTCTGTGTTATTCTGCATCAAAGATGTCGGACTCAAGCTTTCTGAGCAGGTTTCTCCCCTCCTCTGTCTCCTAATCGCCGTGTTTCTTGCTGAGGAGTCTTTTTTTATTAAAGCACTAAAAAGGTAAAAGGGTCAAATGTTATGAATGGCCTCCCAGTGAGCAGAGCGATGCTGCCCTCTGTTTGAACCCATCTTCAGTTACAGCACGGCACTTTCTCCTCGCCTTTACATTATTTTACTACAGCCCTGCATACTGAGGACTGCACTGACGTGATATCATGGAAGAAAAACCACTGTAACACCTAAAGACTTCATGGTGTATTGCTAAAGAGTACTTTGGAGGTAGCATTTTCAGTCTTATTCAAAATATATTGGATATGTATGAAAGGTTTGATAGGAATACGTTTCTATAAAAGGTAGTTTACACTGTATGTAATTTGGGGATGTACAAACAGGAAATTGGTTTGAAGTTTGCTGAAGATAAACTAGAAGAAGTTGAGATTCATGCTTGATAAACGTCAGAGGAAATAGGTTTTCTCTCTAAGTTCTATATATCCCATTCCAAAAACATTACCTCAAGCAATTTAGAAAAGCTCAAATTGCTCCCTCAG